CATAAGAAACATTTGAAAAAATTCAAAGCTTTTTTATGATTAAAAAACTCATAAAGAAACAAAATGTTTAGCAAAGTATTATATAAGGGAATTTTGTTAATTGATGACAGTACATTTTAGCAGTAAAATGATAGAAAGCATTGTTTTTAAAATTGGCAAAACATAAGGTACCCACCGTCAACACTTCAAGTATAATCCTCAAGTTCTGGTCAGTGCAATAAAATAAGTAAAGGAAATACTCATTTAAAATACTTAAAAGAAACATTATTATTTAAAATTCTAGAGTTGCCTACAGAGGAGACTCGAAAGAACCCATTGATTGTGAGATTTGATACAGGAGGTTAGTAAAGTAACTGGATATGAGATCAGTATACTAATACCAGTTGTTTTTTTCTCTTCTATCAACAAATATTTATTACTTTTTTCATCAGTTTTATTAAGTGCCTAGTACATACCACACTCTGTTTTAGGTGCTTGGATAAATTAATGACATATATAGTCAACAATCCTTATCCTTATGAGACTCCCACATGTAAATGACTCCCACATTTACAATGACAAGAGCAAATAAAAGATACTTAGGAAACCTGGGGGCTGGGGGGAAAGGTCAGTTTTGTGGAGAAAATGTGGGATTATAGCCATTAAAGTTTACCTAAATGAATGAAAAGTTCTACCATGCTTACCAATAGAAATATTTCACTTCATAATTATATTGTTTTCTGCAAGTGATTTATAAATTCAATGCAGTTCTGACCAAAGTCAAATTTTGGGGATTTTTGTGAAATTTGACGTTTATTTTAAAATTTATATGGAAGAATGAAGACTCAAAATGGGTGAAACTTTGAAAGAATAAAGTGATGGGGCTTGTCATACCAGGTAATAAGGTGCATAAAGTTTGTGCTATTGGTTCAAGGGAAAGACATATCTGTCAGAAGAACATGGGGGTCCCAAAACTTGAGAATACAGAAGTGGCATTACAGTACATGAGAGTGGACTTACAACAACTGTGGTTCGACAGTGGTTATACCAATGCAAATAAATAAGACCTCACACCTTGTGTAAAAATCATTTCAGTTAGCTTAAAAATGTAAGTGTAGAAAACAAAACTTTAAAACATTTAGAAGTTAGGACCCCAAGGTAAGGGTTTCCTAGATAAAACTTAAAAAACTCTTAAGTCTGAAGGAAAATACTCATAATTTCAGCTAAATTACAAATGAAAACCAGTGCTCATTAAAATATGTCATTAAAAAGTAGGGAAAATGTTATAAGCAGAAGTATTTACAATACATATGGCCAATAAAATATTTATATTCCATGAGATGTAAAGATTCAAAAAGAGAAATACTAATGACCCAAAAGGAGAAATGCATAAAATAACTTTTAAAGTAGAGGTTGCATTAATGGTAAATAAAAATTTACTGAAACTGTTGGTGGTAAATATTTATTACCATAACTAAACTAGATAATTATATTACAAATTTGAAAAATGCAAATAAAGACTACTACCATGAGATTATTTGATACCCTGTAATTTGGCAGGAATTAAGAAAGCTGAAGGTATCATGTGTTAATGAGAAGGTAGAGCAATGGAATGCCTTTACATTGCTACCCTGCCTGTAGGAATCTAAATTGGCAGAGCCACACGAAAAAACAATCTGATAATAATTCATATTTTGAAGTTAAATTTCCATATTTCCTACACACAAAACACACACACACACACACACACACACACACACACACACACCCTCACCCTAAGAGAAGCTCTTGTACCTTCACCTTAGGAGGCTATTGTTAGAATCATTCAGAATAGCAACAAACTGTAATAAAAATGACCCAAATATATATATCAGTAGCAAAATAGGTAAGTAGAATTTGGCATATTCATAGAATGAAATATCATATGCAAGAACATGGATGTATTAGAAACATAATGAAGTCATAGAAGACTAACACCATACCATATACTTTTTAAAGCTCAGAAGCAAACAAAACTAAGTATGGGAATACTTATTCACATAAAACTCCAGAATTCAAAAAGGAAAGGGAATGATAAATGCAAATTCAAAACAGTCCTTGCATCTCTTGGGGCACAAGGAAATGGGATTGGGAGAGAAGTTGTACTTCATGGTATTGGTGATGTTCCATTTCTTACGTTACATGGTTTATTCATAGGAATCGTTTATTTTGTTATTTATGCCTCATAACGTATATGTTCTATGTATTCCTTTTTGCTTACCAAGTTACAAAATAATTTTTAAAATTTAAAAATGTCTAAGAGGATTGAGTTGATATGTCTGAGTAGCTTACGTGAGGCATTCTGACTACCTTATTTTATAGGAGTATCTAATATTTTCAAGTGACTAGTTTGTAAAATGACTAATCTGAATGACTTTTTATATACCTTTTGCTTTATTCAAAATCTCATTTTTGCGATCTCCATTTATGTTTTACAGAAGATTGAACTTTTCACCTTTTTTGAGTTATGATCACATTATATTCTACTTTGATAGGAGAAAACTTGCCCCTAAATTGAAAAACTCATAAAATGAAACTCTTCAGTCTAATTATATACCTGTGCTGCTTCTTAAAGGAATAGGGTACAAAGTTTACCTCCATTTATGTTTTACAGAAGATTGAACTTTTCACATTTTTTGAGTTATGATCACATTGTGTTCTACTTTGATAGGAGGAGAAAACTTGCCCCTAAATTGAAAAACTCATAAAATGAAACTCTTCAGTCTAATTACATACCTGTGCTGCTTCTTAAAGGAATAGGGTACAAAGTTGACAGTGATACAGGGAGAGCAAAGAATACTAATTTCTAACTGTGAGGAATAACGTGGGAATCATTTTAGCCACAATATGAAGATTATATTTGGCAATAATGATTTAAGTAAATTGGGACCAAAAACAATTTTCTTAAATGACATATTAAATGCTGCTTAATAGTGTTTGTACTTACTACTTGTTCCTTCTGCTTGTAAGTTTCTTTCCCCAGAATGTCTTAATGCTAGCTCAGTGTTCATATTTATGTCTCAGCTTAGTTGTCTGCTCAGAGATGCCATCTCTCGGTGCAAAACCTAAAACAGCACCTGGGTCATAGAGGATCTCTAAGTACTTATTAAAGAAAGTAATAAGAAAACATAAAAAGAATAACAGCTTACATTCTACAAGTGTGTTTAGAACAGTTGAGACTGGGGAAGAGTAGAGGTGCAGAGAAAGTTTAGTCAAAATACTTATTAGTAAGGCCTGGCATGGTGGCTCATGCCTGTAGTCTCAACCCTTTGGGAGGCCGAGGCAGGTGGATTGCTTGAGCCCAGGAGTTTGAGACCAGCCTGAGCAACATGGCAAGATGTCTTTACAAAAGATACAAAAAGATTTAGCCAGATGTGGTGGCAAGTTCCTGTAAGCCCAGCCCTTTGGGATGCCAAAGCAGTTGGATCGCTTGAGCTCAGGAATTCGAGACTAGCCTGAGCAACATTGCCAGACCCTGTCTTTACAAAAAATACAAAAACAAAAAAAAAAACTAGCCAGATGTGGTGGCAAGTTCCTGTAGTCCCAGCTACCCAGGGAGCTAGGTGGGAGGATTGCTTGAACTGGGAGGTTGAAGCTGCAGTGAGCCACGATGACACTACTGCACTCCAGCCTGGTCGACAGTGAGACCCTGTCTCAAAAAAAATTACAGAAGAGCAATAAAAAATGAAAGCATTTCTGAAATGTCATATTAGAATATATTACACATACCTTAAAAAAGGTAACCATTATTTTATTAAGAATAACGAGGTCTGGTTTCATCAAAATAGAATAAAACAAATTTGTTATGATATTTTTGAAAACTATAGAATATTTTAAAACCATCTTTATTAGAAGATGATATATGGTTAAAATTATTTATTTGTATGTGGTGTGTGTGTATATGTAGTTAGTATGTTTCGGACTTACAAAATAATCTATCTGCATGCTACGGAAAAGAAAGAAAACTAATTGCTGTAAGAAGAAAAGTAATTATAATATCTAAATTTTCACAGATGTACCAAAAAGTGAAGAAGGATCAAAATATACTCACTGTGGACAATGTGAAGAGTGTTCTCCAAAATACATTTCCTCATGCTAATATTTGGGATATTTTGGGAATTAATTCTAAATATGATGAAGAAAGAAAGGTAAGTTGGGACATTATGTTAAGTGAAGTAGGCCAGGCACAGAAAGACAAACACCACATGATCTCTACTCATGTAAAATCTTAAAAAAATGTCAGACTCACAGAAACAGAGCAAAATGGTGGTTACCAGAGCCTGGGGATGGCAGAATTGGGGAGATATTCGTCAAAGGATACAAAATTTCAGTTAGACTAGAGAAGTTCAAGAGACCTATCATACATGGTGGTGACTATAGTTAATGACAACATATTGTATACTTGAAAATTACTAAGAAAGTACATTTTAAGGATTCTCACCACAAAATATGAGAAGTAGATAAGGTAATGCATATGATAATTAGCTTCATTAGCTATTCCACAATGTATATGCATATCAAAATATGTTATATATCATAAACATATATAATTTTTACTTGTCATTTTTTTAAAAGGTAAACAGAGGCTCAACCCAGAAGATTCAGAAAGAGCCAGAAAGAAAGGCAACAACTCAAAGAAATTTTCAGAGAAAGAAATAGTACAAAGAAATTCCAAAAATTAACGTATATGAGCCTTCATTTAGAAGGGACTCACCAAATACGCAACACATTGAATGAAAGAGGAATGCTCTGGGGCATGGGGATAAGGAATACTTTTCTGAAGAAGTGGTATTTAAGCTGAGTTCTGAAACAGGAGGAAAAGTTAGACAAAAGAAAACAAGGTGGTTGTAAGAGATTAACATTCCAGTCAGAGAAAAATGCTGAGGTCTGAGATGTAAAGGAATTGAGAGAAGCTGATGTTGCTACTGCGTAGACTGAAAGCATACGTTGTGCCTGTGTTAATGGGGTACAGTTGAGGAGATAAGGCTGGAGAGGCAAGCAAGGGGTCTGAATACACAGGGTCTTGTGAACAATATTTAATGCACTCATATCAGTAGAAGCTCTTGGCAACAGTGAAAAACCTGAAAGGCATTAAGTAATGAAGTGACAGTGACATGCATTTTTTTAAAAGAGCATTCTCCTTTGTTGAGAATGGATTGTTGGTGGGAAGGAGTAGGTGTGGTGATATGTATTAGGAAATATAAGGTGAGAGATGTGAGATGGACTAGTAGGCTTTTGGAAGAAGTGGAGGCAGAGAAAATGGACATACTTGAATTATTTAGGAAGTGCCATCCAGGTGATGCTGGATTGGATAGGGTAGAGGGGAGATGAGAAATTGTCAAGGGTAACTCCCAGGGTTCAACTGAACAACTAACTGGTAGCATTGATGCCATTGCTAAGAAGGAAAGGAGTGGAGGAAAAAAGGATTGGGAAATAAAATGAGAAGTGCAGTTTTTTTACATAGAGGATTTGAGGTACCTGTGAGACTTCCAAGGGAGATGTGAAATCAGCAATTGGATATATGATCTATAGCTCAGAAGATGTGTAAGCTAAAAATATATAATGCAGTGTCATTGACTTATTTGTGGTAATTAGCTTTTGAAGTAGAAACATTGCCTAATTGGAAGTCATAGAGTAAGAGCAGAAGAGTGCCTGTATTTCTAGGAGGGACATCTTTCTTGAGTTCCAAACCCATGTATTCAACTGCTTAGTGGATTTCCCGTAAGCATCTTATATCAAAAGAATCTAAAATCATGCCCATGATCTTCCTTGTTGCCCCAAACCTTTTTTTCTTCTTTATCTCCTATTCTAGAGAGTAGGTAGCAACCACTCACCCAGACCACCCATGCTGAAAGCCTAATAGTCATCCTTAACTAATTGTTTTCCTCACACCCTCCCAAAAAATAGATCATCAGGTTCTATCAGTTTTGCCTGTTAAATATTTTGGAATCTGTTAAGTATTTCAGAAACAGCCTCATTCTCATCTTGCCTATTACCACTGACCTTTGTTTTTGCTCTTGCTTTGTCTTTCCCATACAACTGTAGTAGCCTCTGAAGCAGTGTCCTAGAATGTGCTCCTTCTTTAACATTGTTGCCATTGTATCCTTTTAAAAATAAGCAAATCAGATATTATTTGCCATGAACTCTCTTCCTAGATAGAGGATATTATTTACCATGACCTCTCTGGTACCCCCAAAATACTGTATCAAGCTTACTTTTAATGTATCCATCTCTCCCTATCCTTATTAAACTGTAAGTTTCTTTAGGAGAGAGTTTGCGTATCATTTACGTGAATTCATAAACCTAATACATAGTAGGTGTCCACTAAATGCATAGATAGTACAGTGCAGTGGTTAAGAGTTCAGACTCTTGGTCAGACAGATCTGGGTGCAAATTCCACTTCCAAAACACTGTAGCTGTGTAATATAAGAAGTTATTTAATCTCTCTATATTTGTCTTATCATCTATAAAACTGATGTAATAGTAGTACTTGGCTTCCTAGAGTATTTATGAGAATGTTGGCTATAATAATGATAATACTTAGCATTGGATAGCAAATGAGTTATTCAGTCACTTTTTAACTCATAAGCTAAAATTCAAATGTTGAGGACCTTCATGATCGGGCCTTTGCCTACACCCCTCTCTAACTCCATATCTGACAGCTGTCCCCCATATTTCACACCCTGTAAACCCTGCTGTGTTAGTCCATTTTCACGCTGCTGATAAAACATACCTGAGACTAGCAATTTACAAAAGAAAGTGGTTTAATAGACTCACAGTTCCTTGTGGCTGGGGAAACCTCACAATCATGGCAGAAGGTGAATGGCACATCACACATGATGGCAGACAAGAGAACTTGTGCAGGGAAATTCTCCCTTATAAAACCAGCAGATCTCATGAGACATATTCACTGTCACTAGAATAGAGTGGGAAAGACCTGCCTTCATGATCTCATTACCTCCTACTGGGTCCCCCCACAATATGTGGGAATTGTAGGAGCTACAATTTAAGATGAGAATTGGGTTGGGGGCACAGCCAAACCATATCAACTGTGAATTTAACATGCGTAAGTATACCACACTCTCACTTCCCTTTCAGTCCTTGCTATACTCTCTTCACTTGCAATGTCTTTCTCTACTTTATCTCCCTGGCAAATTTTTATTAAGCCTTTGAGACTTTTAGTATCACTCCCTAAAAGAAGCCCTGTATAATCCCTTCCTCTCCATATACTCCAACTTGATTAGGTGCTTCTCCTGGGCCCCACAGAATCTTCTACATGCCTGTGTTTTCTCTGTATGTATGTGAACCCCTTGAGAAAAGACTTTCAGCTCTATAATCACAGTATCTAGCCTAATGCTGGTGGCAGGATTGAATCAGTGTTTATTGAACATATAAATACAGGGATAAATAAGTCTCTGATGCCGATAAATGTTTCGATTTTTATTGTTAAGTAAATGTCATACTGTATACCAAGAATCAGCAAGTTCACCCACTGCTTGTTTTTGTGAATAAAGTATTTTGGGGACACAGCATACTTGTTTATTCATATGTCGTCTATGACTGCTTTTGTGCTGTAACATGAGAGTGGAGTCATTGTGTCAGAAACTGGGTGGCTCACAAAGCCTAAAATATTTACTCTTTGGCCCTTTACAGAAAAAGTTTTTTGACTCCTTGTAGGTAAATTACTTTCCTTTAAGCAGTGTTTGGAAAGGACAGATAAAGTTAGCAAAATGGATGTTTTTTCCTATGGCGTATAAAAATGTGGCAGTGTTCCATTTTCTTATGTTTATTTTTCAAACAATCATATTTTGTTTAACACTGATATTTTTTAACTGAATAGACTGGAGCAAGCTTTTATAAGATGACTGGCCTGGGACCTTTGCCTCAAGCTCTTTATAATGGTGAACCCTTTAAACATGAAGAGATGAATATTAAAGAACTAGAAATGGCTGTTCTTCAAAGAATGATGGATGCATCTGTATATTTACAAAGAGAAGTTTTTTTGGTAGGTAAGCATTTATAAGAAAATACACAATGAATAATATTTATAAATGATATTATTAAAATTTTATTTTATGACAAGTTAATTTGGTAAAAAAATTTTCATTCTGATCATTTAATAGTGATTTTTTAAATGATTCTTTTAGCAGCTCAAGCCACGCCACCCTCCCTGTGCAGAGACTGTGGTGCAGTGTGGCCCTTTACACTCCGTGCCAAGGCAGATCTTCAGGAATCTGGAACACCCACTGTCCTCGATTAGGAGTTTAGGCTACCCTGCTCCCTGTGCGGAGAACTTGGAGCCAAGGAGGTTTCCCAGCTCCACGCCTAGGCACACCTCTGGACACCTGGTGGTTGCCCACTGTATTCTCCCTCAGTACTGGTGCTTGTGCCTGCCATTAGGGTACCTGTAGGCAGGCCTGCTCAGTCTGGCCCTGTCCATCTTGCCCACCATGTCTGAGCAGGGAACCCAGACCACTGTGCACACCACAGATCAGCCCATTGCCTGAGACAACAGAGAGATTATCCCAGTAACAAGGATCAAGTATATACCCTGCCATGTTGGCCTCAGCTGGCTTTTACTCATAAGGGCTATCTACTGGCTTGTAGGTCAAACCACATAGCCCAAAGTAAAATCAGCTGATAGAAAAGCATAGGGCTATAGAAGCATCACTTAAGGAATTTCAAAATACAATTGAAAGCTTTATCAATAGACTGGACCAAGCAGGAGAAAGAATTTCACAGCTTGAAAACCAGTCTTCTGAACTAACCCAGTCAGATAAAAATAACAAAAATGAATTTAGGCCAGGCATGGTGGTTTATACCTGTAATCCCACCACTTTGGGAGGTTAATTAAAGAGGATCGCTTGAGCTGAGGAGTTTGAGACCAGCTTGGGCAACATAGTGAGACCTCCTCTCTACAAAAAAACTTAAAATTTAACCAGGTGTGGTGATGTATGCCTGTAGTCCCAGCTGCTCAAAAGGCTGAGGCAGGAGGATCACTTGAGCCTAGGAGATGGAGGCTGCAGTGAGTCATGATCATGCCACTGCACTCTAGCCTGGATGACAGAGTGAGACCCTGTCTGAAAAGAAAAAAAAAAAAAAAAGAATTTTAAAAAATGAACAGTGTTCAAGAAATACGGGATTATGTTAAAGGAACCAAACCTACAAATTATTGGCATTCCTGCTAGAGAAGGAGAAAAACAACCAGGAAAACATATTTGAGGGAATAATTCAAGAAAATTTCCCTGATCTTGCTAGTAAAGTAGACATTCAGTTACAAGAAATTCAGAGAACATTGTGAGATACTATACAAAGTTAGCATCACCAAGGCTTAGGGTCACCAAACAGTCCAAGGTCAGTGCTGAAGTAAAAATCTTAAAGGCAACTACAGGAAAAAAGGCAGATCACATACAAAGGGAACCCCATCAGACTAACAACAGACTTCTCTGTGGCCTATTTTCAGCATTCTTAAAGAAAAGAAATTCCAACCAAGAATTGTGTATCCTGTCAAACTAAGCTTCATAAGTGAAGGAGAAATAAAATATTTTCCAGACAAGCAAACACTAAAGGAATTCATTAGCACTAAACCGGCCTTACAAGAGCTCTTTAAGGGAATGGAAGAATGGTACAAAAACACACTAAAGTACATAGCCCACAGAACCTATAAAGTATCCACGTGATAGAAACTGAAAAGCAGCCAGCTAAGAACTTCACATAGGATCAAAACCTCATGTACCAATATTAACCTTGAATATAAGTGGCCTAAGTGCCTCACTTGAAAGGCACAGAGTGGCAGTTGGATAAAAAACAAGACCCATCTCTCTGCTGTCTTCAGGAGACCCATCCCATGCATGATGACACCTATGGGCTCAAAGTAAAGGGTTGGAGAAAGATTTATCATGCAAACAAAACAAAACAAAAGCAGAAGTTGCTATTCTTAGATAAAACAAACTTGAAACCAACAATAGATAATTATAAAGTGTTCAACAAGAAGACTTAACTGTCCCAAATATATGTGCACCAACACTAGAACACCCAGATTCATAAAACAAATACTTCCACAGCTATGAAAAATCTTAAGACAGCTACACAATAATAGTGGGAGACTTCAACTCCCCCACTATTATTGAGCTAACCCAGTCAGACAAAAATAAACAACAAAGAATTTAGGCCAGGCATGGTGATTCATGTCTAATCCCACCACTTTGGAAGGTCAATCCAAGAGGATTGCTTGAGCTGAGGAGTTTGAGACCAGCCTGGGCAACATAATGAAACCTCTCTACAAAAATCTTAAAACTTAGCCAGGCGTTGTGGTGTGTGCCTGTAGTCCCAGCTACTCAAAAGGCTGAGGAAGGAGGAGGACAGCAGACAGCCAAGTCTTGTTTTTTATCCAGCTTGCCATCGTGTGCTTTTTAAATGAAGCCTGTGGGCCATTTATATTTACGGTTAATATTGGTACATAAGGTTTTGAGCCTGTCATGAAGTTCTTAGCTGGCTCCTTGCCGTTTCTGTCATATGTTAGACACAGTGTTAGATTATCAAGGCAGAAAACTAACAAATTCTGGACTTAAATGGACACTGACCAGTTGGACCTAATAGACATCTACAGAACATTCCACCCATCAGCCACAGAATATTTATTCTTTTCAGCTGCATACAGAGCATACTCCAAGATCAAGCACATGCTTGCCCATAAAGCAAATCTCAATAAATTTTTTTAAATCAAAATCATACTAGTCATACTCATGGGCCACAGTAGAATAAAAATAGAAATCAGAACTCAGGACATCTCTCAAAACTACATAATTATATAGAAATTAAACAACTTGCTTTTGACATCACTTTTAGGTAAACAGTGAAAAATTAAGGCCGCAATAATAAAAATTCAAATAAATGAAAATGAACAACATACCAAGATCTCTGGCATGCAGCAAAAGCAGTGTTAAGAGGAAAGTTTGTAGTGCTACCCACCTATCTCAAAAATTTAGAACTATCTCAAAATAATGACTTAACATCACACTGAGAGGAATTAGGAAAAACAAGAATGAACTAACCTCAAAGCTAGCAGAAGAAAAGAAATAACTAAAATCAGAGCAGAACTGTACAAAATTGAGACCAAAAAATTTGTACAATGAATCAGTGAAACCAAGCATTGGCTCTTGGAAAGGAAAAACAAGATCGATAGACCACTAGCTAGATGAACAGAAAAAGGAGAAAAGATCTAAAGAAGCACAAGTAGAAGCAACAAAGGTGACATTACAATTGATCTTGTAGAAATACAAAAGATCCTCAGAAGACCTCTATGCACACAAACTGGAAAATCCAGAGGAAATGGATAAATTCCTGATCTCCCAAGATTGAATCGGGAAGAAATTGACACCCTGAACGGACTGATATGTTCCGTAATTGAACAGTAATAAAAAACCTACCAACCAGTAAAAGCCCTGGACGAGATGGATTTATAGCTGAATTCTGCCAGATGTACAAAGAAGAACTGTTACCAATCCTACTGAAACTATTCCAAAAAACCAAGAAGGAGTGAACAATGCCTCCCTTACTCATTCTGCAAAACCCGTGTTATCCTGATACCAAAACCTGGAAAACATGCAACGAAAAACTACAGGCTATTATTACTGACAAACATAGATGGAAAAATCCTCAACAAAATACTTGCAAACTGAATACAGCAGCATACCAAAAAATTAATTCACCATAATCAAATAGGCTTCACTCCTGGGAAAGGTTGGTTCAACATTAACAAATCAGTAAATGTCATTCACCACATAAACAGAATTTAAAACAAAAAATGTGATCATTTTGATAGATGCTGAAAAAGTATTCGGTAAAATCGAACATCCCTTCATGATAAAAAAAAAAAAAACCCTCAATAAACTGCATTGAAGGAACATACCTCAAAAGAGTAAGAGCCATCTATGACAAACCCACAGCCAGTGTCATACCAAACAGGCAAAAGCTGGAAACATTCCCCTTCAGAACTGGAACAGGAGAAGGATGCCCAGTCTCACTATTCCTATTCATCATAGTACTGGAAATCTTAGCCAGAGCAATCAGGCAAGAGCAATATATAAAAGGCATCCAAATAGTAAAAGAAGTTCAATATCTCTCTTTACTGATGATATGATTCTACACCTAGAAAACTCTAAGGACTCCACCAGACAACTCCTGGAACTGATAAATTACTTCAGTAAAGTTTCAGTATTCAAAATTAATCCACAAAAATCAGTAGCATTTCTATAGACCGATAACATTCAAGCTGAGAGCCAAATCAAGAACACAGTCCAATTTACAATAGACACACACACACAAAATAACTAGGAATACAGCTAACGAAGGAGGTGATAGATCTCTACAAGGAGAATTACTAAAGGCTGCTGAAAGTAATCATATATCATACAAACAAATGGGTAAACATTCCATGCTCACGGATTGGAAGACTAAATATTGTTAACATGGCCATACTGCCCAACACAATCTATGGATTTAATGCTATTCCTATCAAACTGCCAATATCATTATTCACAGAATTGGAAAAAACTATTCTAAAATTCATATGGAACCAGAAAAGAGCCCAAATAGCCAAGGCAATTCCAAGAAAAAGAACAAATCTGAAGGCATCATATTACCCAACTTTACACTATACTACAAGGCTACAGTAACCAGAGTTGCATGAAACTGGTACAAAATAGACACATAGATTAATGGAACAGAATAGAGAACCCAGAAATAAAGCCACACACCTACAACCATTTTAGCTTTGAGAAAGTTGACAAAAATTAGTGGGGAAAGGATCCTCGATTCAATAAATGGTCCTGGGATAGCTGGCTAGCCATATGCAAACAAATGAAACTGGACCCCTACTTTTCACCATATTCAAAACAACACAAGATGGATTAAACAGTTAAGTATAAGACTTAAAACTATAAGAATTCTAGAAGAAAATCTAGGAAACACCATTCTGGACATCAGTCTTGGGAAATAATTTATGGCTAAGACCTCAAAAGCAATTGCATCAAAAACAAAAATTGACAAGTGGGACCTAATTAATTAAACTAAAGAGCACAGCAAAAGAAACTCGCAACAGGGTAAACACACAGCCTACAGAATATACAGAAAATATTCACAAACTATACATCTGACAAAGTTCTAGTATCCATAAGTAGCAAACAAATCAAGTAAAGAATAAATAACCCCATTAAAAAGTAGGCAAACGACATTAACAGGTACTTCTCAAAAGAAGACACACAGGCAGCCACCAAGCATATAAAGAAATGTTCAACATTACTAATCCTTAGATAAGTGCAAATCAAAACCACAAGGAGACACCATCTCGTACCAATTAGAACGGCTATTATTAAAAAGTCAAAAAACAGCAGATGCTGGCGAGGCTGAGGAGAAAAGGGAATGCGTATACACTGTTAGTGGGGATGTAAAGTAGTTCAGCCCCTTTGGAAAGCAGTTTGTAGATGTTTCAAAGAACTTAGAACTGCCATTCAACCCAGCAATCCCATTACTGGGTACCTGTCCAAAGGAAAATAAATCGTTCTACCAAAAAGACACATGTATGTTCACTGCGGCACTACTCATAATAGCAAAGATGTAGAATTAGCCTAGGTGTCCATCAGTGGTGGATTGGTTAAAGAAAATGTGGTACCTATATAAACCATGGAATACTATGCAGCGATTAAAAATGAAATCAGGCCCTTTGCAGCAAGATGGACTCAGCTGGAGGCCAAGCAAACTAACACAGAAGCAGGAAACGAAACACTGCATGTTCTCACTTGTAAGTGGGAGCTAAACATTGGGTACTAATAGACATAAAGATGGCAGCAAGAGACGCTGGGGACTTCTAGAGGGGAGAGGGAAGGGTTGAAAAACTATCTGGTACTATACTCACTACCTGGGTAATGGGATCAGTCATACCCCCAACTTCAGCATTACTTGATACACCAGTGTTGTAACCAATCTGCATGTGTACCCTTGAATCTAAAATAAAAGCTGAAATTCTTTAAAAAAAATGTTCAATTAAATTTATCTTAGGCATGTTTGCATCTAAAAATTGCTTAATTGGAAAAAGTTGTAATTGTTACAAGAAAATATTGTAATAATTCTAAATTTCTTATTTATTTTTGATCTTTATATCTGCATAGTTTTTGAAACGTGGGTATCAATTGCCTATATTATCTAAATAACATTTTTGTTATTTTAGGGCACGTTAAATGATCACACGAATGCAATTGATTTTCTAATGGATAGGAATAATGTTGTACCCCGTATAAATTCTTTGATTTTGCATGCTAACCAGCAGTACCTCAATTTAATATCTACATCAGGTAAAATAATCCTATACTGTTCTACAAATGCTTATTGAGTTGTGAATGCTTTATTTATATTTAACATTTAATTTGAAATTTTTCAGTAACTGCTGATGTTGAAGATTACTCTACTTTCTTTTTCTTGGATTCACAAGATAAGAGTGCTGTAATTGCGAAGAACATGTATTATTTAACCCAAGACGGTAATAAGCATATTTTATTTACCTGAATTCTTAAAGTGATAGAAACTTGTAATTTTCATAAGGTAGTTGTATAATAAATTTTAATATGTTTTTATTTTTGAGTAGAGGCCTAGATTTCAATTTTAGAGTTCGTAAATTTTTTAGTATTTAATGCGTGCTCAGAAAACAATGCCATCTATTCTAGCTTTATCTTATTTTTGCCTTTTTTAAAGTAAACAATTTTCACCTTTTTAAGAAAAGAATAAAATCTTTTCAGTACTATGTAATCTTATAATGTATAAAGTACAATTACCACATCATAGAAGATAATAATTCTTCTGCATTCTTATTAAATAACATGCAATGTTTTGCTTAAGGTAGGGGTTACAACCAGAAGAGAGGAGACCAAGACAGTAACACACTTGGGAAAAAGATTTAGCCAAAACCGAGAAGTCTGCTGTGGGACTATAGACTTGTTAGGGTACAATTAACTATTCAGATAGATGAATATAATTCAAATTTGGTTGGTTTTTGTTTTGCTTTGTTTTGTTTGGCCTGCTTTGCTCTAGAAATAAAAACAAGAGCCAATGAGTAAAAGATTAAAGAAGGCTGATTTTGGTCTCAGTAGAGAAGTGGTAATTTTCTAACAGAGTGCATTAAACAGATGGAATGAACTATGTTGTAAGGGGCAAACTTTTATATAGGAGAGAGATTTAAAGCAAAGGCCACACAACCAGTTCTTGTAAATGCTGTAGATTAAATCAGAGTTTCTACCAGATGGCTCCTGGATTACTGTCTAACAGATTCCATGATTTTATGTTCATAAAGGAGTCTGGCTACATATTGCTGTTTTCTGTATCTACTGGTAAGCTTGATTGTTATGGTTTTACATATATGTGGGATATAAATGTTTTTTTTTTTTTTAACAAATGTAGCTAGAAGGCAGATTTGCTTACCAACACTGGGAGTTTTACGTAAGCTTATATAATGAGTTACTCTTCTAGCTGGAAGCTTTATATACGCTTGTATAATGAATTACCCTTGTAGCGTTTTTGTATGTAATTTTATATGTATTTATTTTGTATGTATATATATGTACATGCATATATACATTCACACATAAAATTTTAACAATCTTTGCTAATTTTCAGAAATATTATTTTAATATATTTGTTTTTTTTTTAATGTGTTCCCCTGCTTTTGTTTTATTTTAAAAAAGAGTTAATTTGAGTAAACTGTTTGAAACTTTCAGATGACAGTAAAATTTCTGCAGTCACTCTCTGGATTATTGCAGATTTTGATAAGCCTTCTGGGAGGAAACTTCTTTTTAATGCATTAAAGCACATGGTGAGTACCTAGATATTCTTACCAACAGTTTTAATTTATTTCAATTTAAGGAAAGCAATATGAAGAACATGCTTTAAATATTTTCCCCTCCATGTTGATGTTTTAATTAAGTAGACTAAGGAAGGAATTCAGATTTAGTCTTCATGTAAAATAGGTAACTTTGCTCAGGAAAAGAAAAACCTACCTGTTTTCTATGACTTGTGACATATATTCTCTGGTAGCCCTTGTGATCAGACATACAAATACCTCATATCGATTACAGATAGGGTATTAAACAAAGTAAATAACTCTAGACCCTACACCTACCACCACTTCAGTGACCCGAAATCCACTATTTACCAACAATAGCTAGTAATACCAATTTTTGGTCACATAATTAAGCAGCACTTTCTTTCCCTGATTCTTTAAGAAAAACTAAGTAAATTTATTTCAATAAAGACTATTTTAAGCCTTAAGTCAACATTAAATGTCTTGTTATTAATTATAAACCAGTATACTTCAAGAGTATACATTTCTGTATATAAAAGTAGTGTTTCATAACTGTCTGTATTTCTAAGTTAACATATGTTTATATAGATAAAATACTTAAGAAGCATAAACCAAAATATTTTATGAAATTATTTTTATATTAGCTAAGTATAAATTTATTGCTGTATAAATTTGTTTACCACTTGGTAGTAAACAATGAACATTTATCTTAACAGTTTCTGAGGTTCCAGAATTTAGGAGCAACTTACCTGAGTGGTTCTACCTTAGATTCTTTTATAAGGCCATAGTTAAGATTTTGGTTATAGTTGCAGTGATCGGAAGGCTTCGCTGGAGCAGGAGGACAAGCTTCTAAAATGACTCACTTACATGCCACTGCAGGAGTCCTCAGTGTTTCATTGGCTTTTAGCAGAGTGCTTCATTCCATTGCCACATAGACTTCTTTTTGGTGTTACTTAAGTGCCCTCACTTAATATGATGGGAAGATTGCATGAGGCCAGGAGTTCAAGCCCAGTCTGGGCAACGGAACAAGACTCTGTCTCTAAAAAAAAAAATTTGTTTAAACAATTAGCCAGATGTGGTGATGCACACCTGTAGTCCCAGTTATTTGAGAGGCTGAGGTGGGAGGATCACTTGAGCCCAGGAGTTTGAGACTGCAGTGAGCTGTGATCACACCATTGTACTCTAGCCTGGGTAATAGAGTGAGACCCCAATAATTAGTCAGTGGAGAAAAGAACGTACTGAACATAAGAGTTGTTAACATTTGTAGACTCCTGATAATTTTTAAGAAATGACTTTCCAAATGGCTGTTAATTTTCATAGTTTTTGAGGGGATCTGTCACATCACAGTATTGAAAGCCTTGATTTTTGTTATACCTAATTCTTTCTGCCAATTTAAAAAACAAAGATAGTTTCTTTTTTTTAAATTATTATTTGTTTTTCTTTTGAGACAGGGTCTCGCTCTGTCATCGAGGCTGGAGTGCAATGGTGTGATCTCGGCTCACCACAGCACCCAACTCTTGGGCTCAAGCAGTCCTCCCACCTCAGCCTCCCGGGCAGGTTGGGATTGCAGGTGCATGCCATCACACCCAGCTAATTTTTGTGTTTTTTGTAGAGATGGGAGTTTTGCCATGTCATCCAGGCTGGTGTCAAACTCTCGAACTCTAGTGATCAGCTCGCCTCAGCTTCCCAAAGTGCTGAGATTACAGGCATGAGCCACTGTGCCTGGCCAAAGATGGCTTCTTATTTGTATTTATTTGATAAGTAGTTACAGGGAAATTTTTTCTTTCAATATGACTTTATTTATTTTTAGCTTAGATTCAGGGGGTGCATGTGGAGATTTGTTACATGGGCATATTGTGTGATGCTGAGGTCGGAGCTTCTAATGATTCTGTTGTCCAAGTAGCAAACATAGTACCTGATAGGTAGTTTTTCAACTCTCGTGGCCCCCCTTTCTCCCTCTCCATCCCCTTTTGGAGTCCCCAGTGTCTACTCACATATTTGTGTCCCTGTTTAGCTCCCACATAAGTGAGAACATGCAGCATTTAATTTTCTGGTTTTGTTAGTTCACTTAGAATAATGGCTTCCAGCCAAGCCCATGTTGCTGCAAAGGACACAATCTCATTCTATCAATCAATGTGTAGATTGATTTCGATCTGTACATATTGTGTAGTATTCCATGGTATATATGAGTCACATTTTCTTTATTCAGTCTACCATTGATGGCACCTAGGTTGATTCCATGTCTTTGCCATTGTGAGTAGTATTGTGATAAACATGAGTGCAGGTACCTTTTTTGGTAGAATGATTTATTTTTCTTTGGATATATACCCAGCAATGGAATTGTTGAGTCAAATGGTAATTCTGTTTTTAGTTCTCTGAGAAATCTCCAAACTGCTTTTCACAGTGGCTGAACTAATTTTCATTCCCACTGTGTTTAGGCATTCCCTTTTTCTCTGCAACCTTGCGAGCATCTGTTATTTTTTGACTTTTTAATAATACCAATTCTGACTAGTATGAGATGGTATCTCATTGTGTTTTTGATTTGCATCTCTCTGATGAGTAGTGATATTGAGCATTTTTTCATGTTTGTTGGCTGCTTGTATGTCTTCTTCTTAGAAGTGCCCATATCCTTTGCTCACTCTGTAATGGGTTTGTTTTTGTCTTCTTGATTTGTTTATTGAACATTTTTCTATGTTTATTAGCCAGTTATGGTTCTTTTCTGAATAAGTATTTTTCTGTAACATCGTGTAGTACTCCTGAGGAGAAAAAAAGTCACAGTGTGAATCTTTACCCACTATTCTGTCCTTCCAAGTGGGAGAGGCATGCTAACACTGCTTCCTATCCACTATCTGGAAAACAGCAACAACAACAACAAAAACACTGTCACCACCTTTTTTTTTTTCAACTTTTAAGAGTATGTGTAGGATGTGCAGGTTTGTTACACAGATAAACGTATGCTATGGTGGTTTGCTACACAGATCATCCCATTGCCTAGATATTAAGCCCTGTGTCCCTTAGCTATTCTTCCTGATGCTCTCCCTCCCCACACCCCCCACCCCCAACAGACCACAGTGTGTGTTGTTTCTGCCATTTTGTCCATGTGTTCTCATCATTCAACTCCCACTTAAAAGTGAGAATATGTGGTGTTTGGTTTTCTGTTCCTGTGTTAATTTGCTGAGGATAATGGCTTCCAGCTCCTTCCGTGTCCCTGCAAAGGACATGATTTCATTCCATTTTATGGCTGTATAGTATTCCGTGGTGTATATGTACCACATTTTCTTTATCCAGTCTGTCATCGATGGGCATTTAGGTTGATTCTGTGTCTTTGCTATTGTGAATAGTGCTGCAATGAACATACACATTCTGTATCCTTGTAATATTTAACGGAATGGTTTATATTCCTTTGGGTATATACCCAGTAATGGGATTGCTGGGTCAAATGATAATTTTGTTTTCAGTTATTTGAGAAATCTCCAAACTGCTTTTCATAGTGGCTGACCTAATTTTTATTCCCAATATGTTTAAGCATTCTCTTTTCTCTGCAACCTCGCCAGCGTCTGTTCTTTTTTGACTTTTTAGTAATGGCCATTCTGACTGGCATGAGATGTTATCTCATTGTGGTTTTGATTTGCATTTCTCTAATGATCAGTGATGTGGAGCTTTTTCCTCATATTTGTTGGCCACATGTATATCTTCTTTTGAGAAGAGTCTGTTTATGTACTTTGTCCACTTTTTAATGGGGTCATTTGTTTTTTTCTTGTAAATTTAAGTTCCTTGTAGACTCTGGATATTAGACCTTTGTCAGATGGATAGATGGGAGAAATTTTTTCCCATTTCATAGATTATGTGTTCTCTCTGATGATAGTTTCTTTTGCTGTGCAGAAGCTCTTTAGTTTAATTAGTAATATATCCCATTTGCCAATTTTTGCTTTTATTACAACTGCATTTGGCATTTTTGTCATGAAATCCTTGCCCATGTCTATGTCCTGAATAGTATTGGCTAGATTCTCTTCTAGAGTTTTAATAGTTTTTGGTTTTACATTTAAGTTTTTCATTCATCTTGAGTCAGTATTTGTATAAGGTGTAAGGAAGGGGTCCAGTTTCAGTTTTCTGCATATGGCTAGCCAGCACTTCCAGCACCATTTATTAAATAGGGAACCCTTTCCCCATTGCTTGCTTTTGTCAATTTTGTTGAAGATCAGATGGTTGTAGATGTGTGATCTTATTTCTGAGTTCTCTGTTCTGTTCCATTGGTCTATGTGTCTGTTCTTGTATCAGTACCATGCCATCTTGGTTACTGTAGCCTTGTATATTTTGAAGTTGGGTGGCATGATACCTCCAGCTTTATTCTTTTTTCTTAGAATTAGCTTTACTATTCGGGCTCTTTTTTGGTTCCATATGAATTTTAAAATCACTTTTTCTGAATATATGAAGAATGTCAATGTTTAATGGGAATAGCTTTGCATCTATAAATTACTTAGGGCAGTATGGCCATTTTCATGATGTCGATTCTTCCTATCCATGAGCATGGAATGTTTTTCCATTTGTTTGTGTCCTCTTTGATTTCCTTTGAGCAGTGGTTTGTAATTCTCCTTGAAGAGATTCTTCACTTCCCTTGTTAGCTGTATTCCTAGGTATTTGATTCATTTTGTAGCAATTGTGAATGGGATGGCTCTGCCTACTTGTTGTTGGTGTTGGTGTATAGGAATGCTAGAGATTTTTGCACATTGATTTTGTATCCTGAGACTTTGCTGAAGTTGCTTATCAGCTTAAGAAGCTTTTGGGCTGAGATGATGGGGTTTTCTAGATACAAGATCATGTTATCTGCAAACAAAGATAATCTGACTTCCTCTCTTCCTATTTGAATATTCTTTCTTTCTTTCTCTTGCCTGATTGCCCTGGCCAGAACTTTCAATACTGTGTTGAATAGGAGTGGTGAGAGAGGGTATCCTTGTGTTGTGCCAGTTTTCAAGGGGAATGCTTCCAGCTTTTGCCCATTCAATATGACATTG